CAATGCGCGCGTGTTTTAGAAAACATGACGTTTTGCAGTTTATTTACTAATTGTTTAAGGACATTTTGCGATTTAAATCATCATACAGTAACCAGCAACAATCACCCCTTCCTCTTCTCATCGAAGACATGCGATGCAGTCCTAAACAGTCTCTCGCTGTCGGTGCTTGTAATGATTTTTGCGTCTTTCTCCGACAGTTTAAATGCTTCTACACTGCTGACGTGTGTGCTGCATAATAAAGAGTGCGCGCCTCTCACTCTGCGCTGGTTGCTATTTGATCGCGTCATATCATTGTTCGGTAAAATTTATTCGGTCTTTTCGCTTATTCGCGAATAATTTCGGTTGCCGAACATTCGGTGCATCCCTAGTCAAAGTCATCAAAGTGATTTGGTTTCCCAATATTCTTCAAAACATCTTATTTTGTTTTTCACAGAAGATGGAAAGTCATAAAGGTTGAGTACGGTTTCATTTTTGGGTGGATTATCCCTTTAATGAAGAACAGTTAATGGTTCACACATAAATAAATTAATCATCCTCAAGTTTTGAAAATTGCAAATAAAGCAGTTGAACTATCAAACAGCTGATTTGATTGTGGAAAAAAAGTGAGTGTGGATGAACCAACCAAGATATCAAAAGTCACGTCAAGAGATGACGACACTTAAAACATGTACTTTGTGGATTTTATCAAAGTTTTAACACAATTTTTTTTTTATTGACGGGTGCATGAGATCTTAGATAAAGGGCAAGATTATTAAGAAGACAAATAGATTTTTCTCATCAAAAAAGGAAACCACTCTATGCCAGTCTCTCATTTAGAAGAGTCTGAAAGCTAGTAGTTAAAAGGAAATAACTTGAAATTAGAGGGTACTTTACTTCTTATAAGACCTTGCCATTTCAACACAGATTGCTTACATATATTGGTGAAATGTTGTTATAATGTTAGTAAAGAATAGTTTCACAACAATACATTGAGAGAAGAAAGTTCATCTAAAAGACAATGTCAAAAAGGGAAGTTGATGCTTGTTCCACAGGAAACACAAGAGCTGCACTTTCACAAACATAAAGTGTTGCAGGAATTAACAGTAATAAATTCTGTGCTTGCAGCATACAGCAAATACATGTGGCAAAACTGTTGAAAACATCTAGGCCTAACGGTTTGTAAAGAACTGCTGTGAAAATGGTATAGAAACTCACAGTCCAGCTGGAAGAACATCCACTTTAAGTTCAAACATGAAGCGAAGAGCCTCTGTCAGCAGCAAGTCCACAAAAGCAGAGAGAATCCATGCTCCAAAAAGGAAGGACTAAACATCATAATCAAAAATATGACAATGTTTTAGATTTATATATCCTCAATCTGTTATATTATCCCCTTCTTTATCTGCATTCAAATCATCCTTGAAAACATCTCTTTTTTCAGGCCTACTTATAATTTAGCTATGTTAAATTCCTAGTCTTGATTCTTATTTGGTTTTATGGTTTAAGCTGTTTGATATATATTTTAACTCTGTATTTCTTTATGACTGTCTTCATTTTTTGGTTTCTGTGAATAACCTCGGTCAGCAATTATGCTGTTTTAAGGTGCTATATAAATTAAAAAAAAACCTTGACCTCGATATATATATATATATATATATAAAATACATATATCATTTCATTTTTTGGTTTCTGTGAATAACCTCGGTCAGCAATTATGCTGTTTTAAGGTGCTATATAAATTAAAAAAAAACCTTGACCTCGATATATATATATATATATATATATAAAATACATATATCATCATGGGATTTTAACAAAAAAAAAAATCATCAGCATTTGAATGTATAGTAGGCAGGCATATGGAAGGAAATGTTTGGTAACATATGAAAGGGCTTTTGATTTAATAAAAAAAAAAAGATTATTTTTGTTTATAACATTTTAGCAGGACACACATCATAAATACTAGGCTTAGAGAGCAACACCTCACCCCCTTAAACAGCTTTAAAAAAAAAAATGAGTCAACTGATTGCCAGATAAGATTAAGGCGTTCCAAGTTTCCATGTGACCTTCATGCACCTTATCTTAAACTGGTTGGAACTGGTTGCAGCACTATATTGGTTTTGGAATATTGGAAAATTATATACAGCTTTTTTTATTTATATGCTCTTCAATTTTATGTAGAGAATGTTTTTTAGTAAATGGGTGGAAATCATAAATTATTTAAGGATAAAATTATTACAATTATTTTATTTTCATTGTCTATGGTTCTCAATTCCAGTCCTCGCATACCACCGCTCTGCATATTTTGCACGGCTCTCTTATTTAATTAACACACCTGATTCAGAAAACCAGCTTGTTAGAAGAGAGCTCCATGCATGAACTGTGTTCCGATTGACATGGTCCCTACACAGTGTTCACTGCTACCTACTCCCTGAGCACGGGAAATCAGTTGAAGTTTACTTCACTTCGGGAACATTCATTCACGGATTTGCGCTACGCCACTTCCTGCAGCGTCTTCACACACAGACGAAACTTACTAGAGAAGTGTGAAGTGTGACATAATACACCTCTGTAAATAAATACAATTTAAATTCACGTCTCGTGCGCTTCAATGCCCTTTAAATGGAACTTAGACGCTCCCTTCGAACTGGAATCATGGTGGAATATCCTGTGATGTCCACTTCGCAGGGCATTTACGGTCGAATAGAACAAACATCTGAAGTGATAAGAGATACACACAAAATGTGCAGAGTGGTGGAATGCGATAATTGGATTTGAGAACCACTGGTCTATGGTATAACAAAGCAGAAGCATGTTATTTCAGTACTTCATAAACTCAGTGTATTGAAAAGGTCACTCGTCTAGAATACATTTTGCAATGTAATATATATATAAAAAATAAACATTGTGGGAAAAAATCAACAACAGGAAGACACACAACCGTGCTGCTATTCACACTTGAAACTTACAGCAAATTTGTGGCTGCCAAACCTTTTCTCAAAATTCCGAAAATTGTAGATAAGCAAACTACTGCAGAAAGTGTCTTTCAGGTCCAAGCAGATGAGCCGTCCACTCACCAGCCTCCAGAACTACAAGAGAGCCACGGAACACACACAGAATAATGGTGTTTAGAAATATTTCAAATAATGCTATTAGTTAAAAATAACAATCCTATAAAAATAACAATCCTATAAAATGATCAAATTTCACCATTATATGTTAAATTTTTCCAGATGCTTGGGCTAGAGAATGACTGATAATGCTCTTTTATCACCAATCTGATCATTTTAAACCATCTAATCACCAATATAGTATACAGAAACAATTTTTTACCGTTTGATTTCAAGTTTTTGCCATAATTGATAAATCAATTATCATTATACTACAACTAAGAAAACATGCATTATGAATATTTTATTATTATTTCTAATTATAGCAATAAAAGTTATTTAATAATAGGCAAACATTCTAAATCAATACACAGTGTTAAATGCATACATCTGATATTGTGCACTGAATTCTTCGGGTGAACTGGTGTAATATCTCACCTGCTTGCCGTGCCTGACAGCCTGGAGGTTGTATATGAGCAGATCCTGGTACTGAGGCAGAAGCACAGTCAGCAGCACAGTGAGGACTGTAGGAAGCAGCAGTAAGCTCTTGGACAGGGGTGCTTTATCTATAAGACACAGCATGGAAGTTGTACTGTTAAATGTGTTGCCAAGGAAATTATAACTTCCACCGTCGGTCATGTCAGAGGATAAAAGTTAATATTACAAATGGGGGACCTATTAGTCCGTGATTATATGAGTACACTAAGTTCAGTCAGACATACTGGTTTATGTCACCACGGTACCTACAATTTCTTAAAAAAATAATAAATAAAAATTAGAGGAACAGTTAAATTTAATTAAAAAGTTCACCCAAAAATGAAAATTTGCTGAAAAAGTACTCACACTCAGGCCATGGGTGAATGGGTGCTGTAAGAATGAGAGTCGAAAGAGCTGATAAAAACATCACAAT